AAACTTGAGCCCCACCCCTGCAAACTGAGGTTTCCCTCTTACGACACAAGTTCATCTCTTGAGGCCTCATGAAGACCTGACGCACAAACAGGTGTACATAGAGCAATTTGTTGTACTCTACGAGGTGGCTTGGCACAATCGAAAGTGAACGAGGCTTTGCCAGGACCTGTTCGGTGGCAGCTAATTATATCCCACATGCTTTGCTAATGAGACCCAAACGAGCACCTTGGCCAAAATGTTTTAGCCAAGGTAAGAGAACAGAACGATCTTTGCCTTCAGAGGATACCGAGCGTTCGGAAAGCGGAAACATCCCCGGGCCAAAGAAATGTACACAAAAGCTCTCTTGGTTTCCATGCAATGTTTGAGAGAGGCAGTGTCATCTCTGGATTTTGTCGGCACCTTCGAGCAGGGCCCTATCCTTATCATTGCCACCATTGCCCAGTTGCTTGCATCTGGATCTAACCTTCCCCAGAAGGAGTGGGCAAGGTAAAACAGAAAGCATGGTCGCACTATTGAAATAAATCAGGTGATGGATCTGGAGGGGCGTTGAAGTAGGTTTAGAGTCATGTGGTAGTCACATGGTGTCACGAGACTACTTTTAATCCATTTTTAAGACGTGTTGCGTATTGCTTGAGAGGGCTATCCAGGCTTTTAAAGTCATTGCATTCGAGGCCTTTTCTCATGCCCGCCTGGCCTTGGGTGGGTGCAAGTGCTCAGCTGGGTGGGGTTTGTCAAGTGATCACATTTTCTCATGCCCGCCTGGCCTTGGGTGGGCGCATGTGCTCAACTGGGTGGGATTTGTCAAGTGATGGATGCCACGATCACGGGTTTCAGGCTGCAGGGAAACTCTGCTCTCCAATCTGTTCTTCCTCCAACTGTCTTCTTCAAATAGGGCAATCCCAATTTGAAAGAAACAAAACAAATAAACAAATATTTAAAATAACACTGGCCTTTCACAGCCACTCACTGCTGCTCCTGCTTCCAGTGTGTTTTTTTAATATTTGTTTTGTTTGTTTTATTTCTTTCAAGCCGGGATAGTGCTATTTCAGGATTACAGATAGGAAAAAAAGTGCAGCAGATCACACTGAGAGATTTCCCTGCAGCCCAAAACCCCATGATCTGACATCCATGTAGCTCAGCTGGGTTAAAATATGCAACCCCCTCCTGCCTGTTTAAAATATCTCCCTTTCTGGGGGGGGGGGAACCATGTTTTCCGGACCAAAAAAAAGTGCACTCAGCTGTACATTGTAAAATATCTCACTTTCTGAACAACAACAAAAAAAGTTTTCCGGACCCAAAAAAAGTGCACTCATCTGTACATTGTGTAAATCAATTTCAAGCATGCTAAACCCGACACAAACCCAGGATAGTTGTTGTGGGTTTTTCAGGCTCTTTGGCCATGTTCTGAAGGTTGTTCTTCCTAATGTTTCGCCGGTCTCTGTGGCCGGCCTCTTCAGAGGACAGGAGCCTCTATCCAACAAACTGCAACAGAGCAAAGATAGAGTTCTGACTTCTGTCCTCTGTCTTCAGAACACAGCCAAAGAGCCCAAAAAACCCACAACAATCATCAGATCCCGGCCGTGAAAGCCTTCGAGAATACAAACCCAGGAGTTTGTTTACATGTAACTGCACCCAGAGACTGACTGCTGATCCGGCCACTTTTTCTATGTGTGAGGAAATATAAATGAATAGACAGAAACCTACAGAAAAATGAACATAGCCAGAAAACTCTGGGAATTAGCAGCCACGCCCCCAGAATGTCACCCATTGTACATATGTCCGGATGCTGCCCCTTGGCATTGGTTTTAAAGAGAAAAACCAAAGCATATGAAGTGCATTTATTAAAAGTGGTGGTAGTGGGGAAACAGGATCACATTGAATCAATATAGCCGGAGGTTGTGCGAATCGGCTTATTTCTTTGATATACATCAGAAACATTAATGTCATGGACCATGGCCAGTATGGCAAGCCTGTTTCAAAGCAGTGATGAAATCCCACTTAAGAACTCCTTCCATCCTCCAGGACAACTGTAGCAAGCACATGGGCTGAAATGTAAGCTTCTAGGAACCAGAAGAGCCAGACCAACAAAATAAGATAGGTATGCCATGCCATTGCCAGGCTCGTGCCCAGTAACACACCCACATCACACATTGACCCGCTTCTCTTTCCTCTCCACACTCTTCCAATGTTGTGTCACTGGAATGTTGAAGGAGGTGAGTTTTAATTACGAATACTTGGAAGTAAATGGCTTCCCACATTATGGGAAACCAACGTGATTTCTCTACCAAGAACGACCCGGCAAATTCTGCTCCTTAGAAACCCAGGTGTCTCTCCCTCGCTTTTCTACCCACTTTCTTCTGCCATCTCAGCTGCTCTGTTTATCCACCAAAGCACGCTGTAATTCCCTTCATCCCCTCCCAGTTTCTTTATGGGCCAATGGAAAAAGTTCTCCGAACAAAACTTTCCCCAAGATTCGGGGAAAGGCACACAAACAGGAGACAAACCCTATTCTTTTTTTCCAGCCGTGTAGCTTGTTCCGGGAAGGTTCCCATCAGGTCACACCTTGTACTCCATTCCATTTCCATTCCCGTAACTCAGAACCTAGGAACACGATGTCTTTTAAGTCACCCACTGACACCCTTTTCTGCGCAAAGCCTCCACGCTGTTTTCGTCTGAACTCATCAGATAATCATCTTAAGTTTGGATGCGACGGATCACAATGCTGTCCCAACTATTATCTCAGCTGAGAAACAGATATAAGTCTCTATTTGGTGTTTGTGAGACGACTCTGGGCATCTTACAACCAAAAACATCAGCATCAACGACATATGAAATTCAGTAACATGTCTGTTAGGCATCCTTCAGTCTCGAGAGACTATGGTAATGTGCTCTGTATGGAGGACTTGGAACAACGTCTAGTGTTTTGATGCTGTATGTGAAGTTGGAGTGTCCTCTCTAGGGCACGAAGCCTGGGTAAAATAATATGGAGGATAAGCTGTTACCCAAGCAGCAAATCCCCCCTCTCCACAACGCGGAAATAGCCTAGTGGAAAGGCAAGAGCCAATACAACTGGTTCCAGCGATGTCGCAGGAGTTGCCAGAACGACATGAATTGGAACTGCCTCCGGGACTCCGGCTCCAGATGTTGCCTCGAGGTGGACTCCTGAAGCCTTTTTGCATCAGTGGATATCGCCGCAAGGCAGCGGAGGTTTGAACTCAGAGTTTTCCTTCTCCTAGATGGGCTGCCTTCCAAGGCTGACGAGCCCCACCTTCCCGGCTATATAAATTATTATTGTCATAATTTTCTTTTCAATAAGTCACTGATCACTAAGCAACTGATCTATTTTGTAATCATAGCCTGCCCTAAGCCTAAATATATTTAAACACAAAAGATGGTGGCAAAACAAAGTCAATTAACTCATGAAGAGAGGGCTGTCAAGAATTAAAGGAAATAAGATTGAGCAGGGTTAAGACAGCGGAAAGGCTGGATAAAGAGCCACTTGTTTTTCTAAAGCTGAGGAGGTAGGGATTAAAGGAAATAAGATTGAGCAGGGTTAAGCAGGGCTCTTTAGCCACTTGTTTTTCTAAAGCTGAGGAGGGTAGGGGCCTGATGCATCTCCACAGGAAGGGAGTCCCACAATGAGGTGGCCACCACTGAGAAGGCTCAGCTCCTGGTTGTAGATTTCTGGGCCTCCCTTGAGGTGGCCACCCATAGCATCATGGATTGGGAGTCCTGATCCATGATTATATATTCATGGATTGGGAGTCCTGATCCATGATTACATATTAGTTACAGTCATGCCTCGCTTTACAATTGCCCCGCATTACGATGAAACTGCATTACGACGATCTTTTTGTGATCAATTGTGATGGTCTAAATGGGGTTTTTTCGCTTTGCGATGATTGGTTCCCTGCTTCGGGAACTGATTCTTCGCAACACGTTTTTTAAATAGCTGATTGGCAGTTTCAAAATGGCCACCAGGTAAACAAAATGGCTCCCCACTGTTTTCTGGGACGGATTCCTCACAAGACAGGCAGTGAAACTGGCTGCCCTATGGAGGATCTTCACTGGACGGTGAGTTTTGACCCCATTGGAACGCATTGAAGGGGTTTCAATGCGAATCAATGGTTTTTTTACCGCAGGGTTTTTTCGCATTATGATGTTTTTGCTTCACTGCAATTTTCCTGGAACAGATTATCGTCGTTAAGCGAGGCACCACTGTATAGGTATATATTCCACCTTTTTGCAAGTGAGCTCAAGGTGGGAAACAGAATGGTGTAGTGTTACTAATGCTCTTGCGGTCAAACCCTTGGGACTTTTTTGATAACAGCAACTGTGTGACATCATCTGGCCCTGCTTTAGGCTTCCCTGTTTTCTCTCAGCTTAGTTGCAATCCTGAAGGGAGCTGAGAGAGAAAATGATTTTTTGTGTCAACAAGGTACCATGGCAAGCCGCCCATGTCATAAAGCAAAGTACAGTATGTGAGTACAGTTGGGAATTGAGTGCACAATTAAGATCCATTACCTTTACAAAAGATGTGCTCCTCAATCAAGGTTATATAGATCAATCCAACTGCCTACATTTTTGGACTTCCCTTATGAGGAATGAGGTGGCCATGGGGATTGCCATGAGGCTCACCTGCAATTCTAAATTTACCTCGAGACCACTGGGCATACATGATTCTCCTGGCCTTTGCTTTATCCTCACAACTATCCTGTGAGGTAGGCCAGGGCAGGAGTATGTGATTGGCCCAAATGGGCTTCATGACCAAATCCGAATGCTGACTTTCGTCTCCTAAGCCCTAGGCCAGTTCTCTAACCACTATACGACACAGATCCCGTGGCATGACCTTAGGCGTGGATATTTGATTCCTTAGGCCAGTTAGTTCTGTCTTCTCTCCCCCCCCCCCACCTTGGCTTGTCCTGTTCTCCTTTAATAAACACAGACCTTGCTATAATTAACTTTGTAAGCAATCAACTGGGATGGTGGCCAAGAGTCAACCAGCAACGAGGTAGCTACAGATACAGTAGAGTCCCAACGGAAACCTCAGACTGAGCAGACCCGAAAGGTGAGGATTACGTTGGGGGACACCCCCCCAAGGGGTTGTGGAGCAGGTCAGAAATGCTTGGAAGTGTTGAGTAGGGTTGTCATGAGAGGGTGGGTCAACAAGGGGGGGGGGTTCGGAAGTGTCATGTGAGATCTGCATGTCTGTACCGTCCCTCCTCCCCTCCTTCCACTTCAGAAAGCTGCTTGTTGGAGGTACCTCTTGACATAATTTGTACAATGCAAACTGCCATGGCCAATTAAAAAACACATGTGCTGTGAATACACCCTATAAATAGAAATCCGGGCCTCATCGGAGATTGAGCCATATGAGCAGGCATGCATGCATGTGCATGGTGGTTGCAAAACTGCATTCCTAGGAGGTTGCCACAAGCTGTACGCTCTTAACAACATTGCTACCGCTTTTACTGCTTCGAAATCACTACAGAGCTTATGTACAGGCACTGGTCATCTCTAATTCACGGCACAAAAGGAGATCGCAAAAGCAGGGGACATAGATTGACAGTTGCAATGGAAATACACACAAGCAAACATACACAACACACCCCTTTAGTGTCAGGCATGGGAAACCTGGGGCTCTGCAAGAACTGACAGATTGCCTTTAGCATCGACCCAAGCCAGGAGAGCTAATGATATGGCAACACAAAGATGAAATGTGTTGTCCGCCCTAATCTGAAAAGTCACATATTCCCTGTCCATAATAAAGAATATGTTTTATTTATAACGTCGGACTTAGAGTTTGCGCATCTTTTATTTGTAGGTTTAAAAGTGTTCCCCTCCTTCCAGATGAAGCCACGGAAATGTGATAGGAGTCCATGTCGGGCAGTTCACATTGTTCTGAGTGCTAAAAAAGCATTGTTGTTGAGAAGGATGTTGGGAATGCATTGATATTATGTACTGTGATGCTTTGAGTCTGGGTAATTTTCCATTTTGTGTCACGCAACCTCCAGTTCTACCACATTCCTTGTTTTGTCTCTTGGATTTTCACGTTGTGGTTCCCCCTACACAGGGATCTTCTTTCTATATGAAGAGATGTCAACCCGGGATAAGCCCCCAGAGGCGGAAGTGGGGGATACAACCGAACAGCAGTGGACGCTCAGGAGTGAGAGCCACGCAGAGTGCTTCCTTGGTGCCGCTCTCCAGTTGCGAGAGCAACACCGTCTGGTGGACGTGACCGTGGCGTTGGGTCTCAGGAGCTACCAAGCCCACAGCCCCATTCTTGCTGCTGTCAGTTCTGTCTTCCGGCAGCGCATGCAATACAGAGAGCAAGGCGCGATGGAGCTCCATGGGGTGACCACACCACGGGGCTGGGAGGCCATCTTGAATTTCGCCTACACGGGGGAGTTAGAAGTCACACCAGAGACGGCCGGAGAGATCTTGGACGCAGCCGAGTCGCTAGGCGTTCCTCGTGTCGCTGAGATCTGCAAGATGGTGTTGATTGGGATGCAGGCCGAGGACAGGCTGAGTCCAGCCGAAGAAAAATGGGAGACGCTCCGAAGCCTGGAAGAACTTTACAAAGAAGGCATTGGCTGGGATTTAGAACTTAAAGCGGAGGGAAATAGTTTCCGAGGTAAATCTGGAACAGTTGACTGGAAGCTCAAAATACAAATTGAAAGGGGCCTGTGGGTTGGGATGAAGCGATAAATTCCAGCTTTAGGGGCGGCTAATTTGTTGGGTTTGGGGTTGTGGGATCCTGACTGACATATGACTGACGTCGCCTTCCTTCCTTCCAGTTCACCGCCTGGCTTTGGCCTGTGGCTGTGAGTTCTTCCATGGTATGTTCACCAGTGGCATGAAGGAATCTCACCAGGCAGATGGCCCTCTCTGCACCCGTTTCACCTCAACTGATTTGGAACTAGTGATCTCCTTTGCGTACTCCGGCACACTGGTTGGTGGGTGGGATTTTCTGCTTGATACGGCTCAGGCTGCTCTACAATACCAAGTCTCTGGCATCTGGGAACTCTGTCTGGATTTCTTCCATCACCAGCTGAGCCCTGAATCCAGCTTGGACGTCTTGTCCTTCGCTCGTGCCTATGGCTTGCACGATCTGGAAAGCACCGCCGAGAACTTTGTGTTAAGGAATTTTGCTCACGTCACGGCGACGCCAAAATTCTTAGACCTTCCAGTCAACCAGCTGGTTGAGTTCCTCAGCTCTGACGCTCTCTACATCCTCAATGAATTAGAGGCCTTCCAAGGAGCCATCTGCTGGCTGAACGCTGACCCGGCTGGACGGATGGACCGTGCAGACAAAGTTCTGCGCTGCATCAGATTCTCTCTGATGTCCACCCGGGAGCTCAAGCAGGTGCGGGCGGAAAAGATGATGGCTGCCCCGGGTCATCTCTATAACATCATGGTCGACTCTCTAGCTAGCCTCCCACCGGGCCCCTCCAAGATGGAACAACTCCCGTGCCGAATGAGATATCCACAAAAGGTGATTGTTACCAGCGGTGGAGATACTCTGGCAAAGAACATGGCCACTCGTAGTCCCACCCAGGACATCTGGTTCTCCCATCGCTTTTGGAACGGCATCGGGCTGGTCAAGCAAATAGAGTGGCGTCGTCTTGGGCAGCTTCCCGAAGAGCCACGCTTCCGGCATGCTGTAGCGGTCAAGGACAATGTGATGTACATCTTTGGGGGGAAAAACTACTACGGCGTCAGGGACACCATGTGTTCAGTGTTCAAGTGAGCTCGAAATTTTGAAGTTTCAATTTGAAGAAGGGGTAGAAACCAATTCCCTTCTGTGAGGAGAGCTGTTGATAAAAAAAATGAGCTTCTTGGAATCCCTATCTGCAGGCTGTAATTTACTTGAGAGATATTTACTGTTATTTTGTGTACTCCAGAAGCTGAGGCCATTGTCTAGAAAGCAACCCATAGAAGAGGTTATGAGACTCAAAAGACAGAGCGAGCAAAAGAAAGGAAGGAAGGAAAAGCAGGTGCCATATGCAACGTCTTGACATGGAGCAGTCAGAATATCTAAAAGCTGAGTTGAATTTACCCAACATGTTTATATAAGACTCTCTACCCAATCAGAAGATTAGCCTATGAGCCAATCATTGTGGGACAGATCCCCAAAAGGCAGGGTGGGGGACTGGAGGAGACTTGCATTTCAGTTCTCCGGTGCATGCTGATTGGCTGTAAAAAGGTAAAAGGTAAAGGTTCCCCTTGACAATTTGTCCAGTCGTGTCCGACTCTAGGGTGTGGTGCTCATCTCCGTTTCCAATGCATAGAGCTAGCATTTGTCCGCAGACAATCCTCCGTGGTCACGTGGCCAGCATGACTAGACACGGAACACCATTTACCTTCCCACCGAGGTGGTATCTATTTATCTACTTGCATTTTTTTGCATTTTGCATGCTTTCGAATGGCTAGGTTAGCAGGAGCTGGGACAAGCGATGGGGGCTGACTCCATTGCATGGATTCGATCTTACGACTGCTTGGTCTTCTGACCTTGCAGCACAGAGGCTTCAGTTGTTAGTTTTCCCCACTCCCTTAATTTTACCCTCTGATGTGCCCGTTGTTGATGCACCAAGAGAATTTATTTATTTATTTATTTATTTATTTATTTATTTATTTATTTATTTAGATTTATTCCCCGCCCATCTAGAACAATGGAATAAAAGGAAAGATGGTTGCTTTGTGCTTCTAGGAATCTAAGAGTTTATGGTTGTGGTCTTATAATTGACTGCCAGCTGGCTGGGTAGCTCAGTGATTTGGATACGTGGCTCCAGAACCAGAAGTTGAGGGTTTGATTACCCACTTTGTCTCCTGGGGGGGGGGGAGACAGACTGTGTAGCTGTGGACAAGTTGCAAAATTCCAGAATAATCCCAGAAGGAAGGAGTAATCAACCATTTCTGAGTACAGTGGTGCCTCATATAACAAGCATCTCGTTTAACGATGAATCCGCATAGCGATGTGGATTTTGCAATCGCGAGAGCGATCACATTGCGATGTTTTTAATGGGTAAACATCGCATTGTGATGATCAGTAAGCGTTTCGCTTACCGATCTTCTCATTGCGATGTTTGAAAACAGCTGATCGGCGGTTCCAAAATGGCCGCCGGGTCAACAAAATGGCTGCCTGCAGTGTTTTTGCGCCAATTCCTTGCTTACCGAGGTGGCGAAAATGGCAGCCGGATGGAAGATCTTTGCATAACGGTGAGTTCCCCCCCACAAGAATGCATTAAACAGGGTTTAATGCGTCCCTATGGGGGTTTTTGCCCCGTATAGCGACGTTTCCAGATAGCGACGATTTATCCAGAACGGATTAACGTCGCTATGCGGGGCACCACTGTACTCTCTAACTAGAAAACCATAGAAAGAGTCACTCAAAGTCAGAATCAACTTGATGGCATGAAATGATTATCATTGTTAGCTGACTGCCCAAGATTTTAAGAAAAACGATGTATTTGGGGTAATGCGAAATCATGGAGGTGGAGAGATGAAATAATGTGAAGGATAGCTTGCATGTTAGGCAGTATTCTCTAATTTATAAATGGGGATAGAAATGGAAGGGCCTACTTCCAAAGGACATCCATGTTCCTTGATCCTCCCTTGTTGCAGGTTCGACCCTCTGTGTGAGAGATGGGAGCGGCTGGCCGACATGACAAGTTGCAGAAGCTATTTCCAAGTGGTCTTCTTAGATGGCTTTTTCTACGCCATGGGTGGCAGCTCCAATGATGTCTATTGTTTGGATTCAGTGGAATGCTATGAACCTAAGACCAATACCTGGAGGTGAGCTTAACGACTTTACAAGACCTCAGCTGGAACACACCTTTGAAAAATTACAAATCTGATAGCACTTTTCAAATACTTGAAAGGTGGTCATACAGAGGTGGGGCAGGATCTGTTCTCAAGCATCTCAGAGTGATGGACACATCATAACGGGCTCATGCTACAGGAAGCCAGATTTTGGCTGCATAACAGGGAAAAAAGTTCTTAGCTGTTAGAGCAGTACAACGATGGAACCAATGACTTCCAGGAGGTGGTGAGTGCTCCAGCACTGGAGACGTTCAAAAGAAAACTGGACAATCACCTTCCTTCCTTCCTTCCTTCCTTCCTTCCTTTCATTCATTCATTCATTCATTCATTCATTCACTCACTCACTCACTCACTCACTCACTCACTCACTCACTCACTCACTCACTCACTCACTCACTCACTCACTCACTCACTCACTCACTCACTCACTCACTCACTCACTCACTCACTCACTCACTCACTCACTCACTCACTCACTCACTCACTCACTCACTCACTCACTCACTCACTCACTCACTCACTCACTCACTCACTCACTCACTCACTCACTCACTCACTCACTCACTCACTCACTCACTCACTCACTCACTCACTCACTCACTCACTCACTCACTCACTCACTCACTCACTCACTCACTCACTCACTCACTCACTCACTCACTCACTCACTCACTCACTCACTCACTCACTCACTCACTCACTCACTCACTCACTCACTCACTCACTCACTCACTCACTCACTCACTCACTCACTCACTCACTCACTCACTCACTCACTCACTCACTCACTCACTCACTCACT